CTTGATGAGTTTTATGGACGCCTATTCAGGGTTCCACCAAATACCCCTATGGAAGAAGGATCAAGAGAAGACGGCTTTCGTCACTGATCAGGGGCTATTTTGTTATATGGTGATGCCGTTTGGTCTGAAGAATGCGCCTGCCACCTTCCAAAGAATGATCAATACTGTCTTTTTTAATCAAATTGGAAGAAATGTGGAGGCGTATATTGACGATATAATAGTTAAGTCCAAGCTTCAGTCGGATCACCTGGCAGACCTCCGAGAAACATTTTCCACACTCAGGCGACACCATGTCATGCTTAATCCTAAAAAATGTGTTTTCGGTGTTGAGTCTGGAAAATTCCTCGGATTTCTGATTGACCAAAGGGGGATAGAGGCGAACCCTGAAAAAATACAGGCGGTCATAGACATGCAGTCGCCCCGTAATGTAAAGGAAGTACAAAATTAACAAGTTGCCTGGCGGCCTTGGGAAGATTTCTCAGCCGATCAGGCGACAAATGCCTTTATTTCTTCCAGGCGATAAAAAAGAAAGCTATGTTCGAATGGGGGCCGGATGCATAGGCGGCCTTCCAAAGACTGAAGGAACATTTGCATTCTTTGCCAAGGCTTGTCAGTCCTTTGACCAAGGAAGTGTTGTACATGTACCTGGCCGTCTCTGATCATGCGGTCAGTGCTGTTCTCCTTGCTGAAAGAGACGGCTGCCAGATCCCTGTCTACTTCATCAGTCATGTGTTGAAAAATGCCGAGTTACGGTATCCCATGGTTGAGAAATTTGGCCTGACCCTCTATATGGCAATTAAAAAGCGAAAACCTTATTTCTTGGCACATTCGGTTGTAGTATACACTGACCAGCCTATCAAGCGGCCCTTAACGACCATGGAGTCGTCCGGCCGAATGATAAAATGGGCGATTGAAATTCAAAGCTTGGAAATTACTTTTGAGCCAAGAAAAGCGGTGAAGGGTCAGGCCCCAGCCGACTTTATTGTTGAAATGACCAGGCCGCTTGCTCCTGATAATGTAGACCAAGTCTGGAAGGTCTATGTGGACGGAAGTTCCACAACAAACGGTTGCGGTGCAGGCGTCATATGCCAGTCCCCTGAAGGGGACAAGTTCGAATATGCATTGCGCTTCAAATTTCAAGCCTCAAACAATGAGGCCGAGTATGAAGCCTTATTGGCCGGCATCCGCATGTGCAAGGCGGCCGGGGAAAGGAAGGTGGACGCCTGTTCTGACTCACAGCTGATTGTAAGTCAGTACCACGGTGATTATGAAGCCACCCATCCGGCTATGATCAAGTATTTGCAGGCCGTGAAAGAAGAGGCCGGGACACTTGAGGAATTTAATCTAAGCCAAGTGCCAAGGTCTGAAAATAACCAGGCGGATGCCCTCTCCAAACTTGCATCATCCGCCTCCTGTGATGCACCGAGAGCTGTCTTCTGGGAGACAATTGAAAAAAGAAGCATTGAGGAGGATCCTATTGGAATCCTTGATCGCAGCTCAACTTAGATGGATCCCATCCGGGCATATCTAACCGACGGTACTTTGCCGGACGACTACTCAGAAAAGATTGCACTGAAAAAGCGTGCATCTAACTTTGTAATTCATCAAGGGGAACTCTTCAAAAAGGGTTACCTACAACCACTCTTGAAATGTGTTACTCCTGAAAAAGGCCGAGAAATCCTAGAGGACTTGCATTCTGGTTTCTGCGCCTCTCATATAGGCGGACGGGCGCTTGCAAGAAAAGCCAGGAGGCAAGGCCCACCGCCTGATAAATAAGGTGGGCACCGGTTCCACCTGTTGTACTTTTTATTTTGGATTTTGTTGGGGCTTGAGACTATGAAGAAAGTGTTGCGCCAATCTTTCCATTTGTTTTCTTTCCCCATAGTCATCATGTAGCCTTTGTGGCTATTTATTTGGTACCATCCGGTACCGCTTGCCTTGGGGGTCCGACTCAAATAATTCATATGGGCGAACGCCTCAAAATTGGCGTCCACCCCATGCATTTCGCAGGCGGCCACGTACCCCAAAATGTTGAACCATGAATTAGGGGCAAGTTGCCAAAGGCCCAGCTGGTAGCCGTCTAAAATCCTCTCTACTGCCGGATGTAGAGGAAACCTTAGGCCAGCTTTGATGGCCGCTTCATAGCAGCCAAAGCACTCGTCCCCGTAGCTTGCCGCCTCTGGCCAGACGACTGTATCTTCTGGGTCCGGTACCGACAATATGTAATCGCCACCCATAAAGTAGTCGGCCCTGATGCTTGCCAGCTTGTCAAGCATGGTCTTGCGCCTGCCAGAAGGAACGTGGCAGTAATAAGGGGTGTGCGACTCCCTTCGAGAGGCAGCCGGCTCTGCCCAGTCGTCCCCCTTTTCGGTTGCATGACTGGCTCTCGCCTCATGCAGGCGAGAGTGCTTTTCTTCTGAGTCGGCAGAATACCGACTGGAGGTGCTCGTTTCCGAGTCACTCGAGCTCTCGGCCAGATCAGCCGCCTGTCCAGAGATATCTATAGATAAGGGTTCATTCCCAACCTCATCCCCTGATTCTCTTAAAATAGAATCACTCGGGGTACTTGGGGTCCCATGCGGCTGTTCCGAAAGCTCCTCCCGAGAGAAAAAGGAGCCGTCTGAATTTGAATATCTTGCAGTCTTTTTTGTCCTGGCCATAGTGTCCTGCACAGATACAGAGACAGTCGGACTCCTAGTTCGCAAAGGGTGGTCCATCAAGGGGCAGTCGGCACTCCTAGTTCTAGATTCAGCCGTCCCCGGTGACCGGCTGATCACTAACCTAGGCCGTGCCGGGTGCTTTGGGGCTACCATTTTCGTAAAAATAAAATAGAAAAGCAGAAAGTACAAGGAAAAAGTGCAAGGAAACATGCGGTTACCTGTTAAAATCTGGGAGCGTTTGAAAAAGGTTAAAAAACAGTCGGCCTGAAGGTCGGTTGGTCCTGAAAACAGTCGTTCTTTCAAAGCAGCCGGATGTCTTAAAAGGGGAGCAGGCGTCCTGTTTTTGTTTGTCTGAAAATGATGGTAATCATTGCAAATGTTTTGGACATCCCCTATTTATAGGGGGGTGAATTCCAAAGGTCAGGGTAAAAAAAAAAAAAAAAGGTTAAAACCGTTAACCAATCGAAAGAGTGACACCTGTCACCGGCGCCACGTGGCACGCCACGTCACCCCTGTGAGGGGCAAATGATTTGGGAAATTTTCCCCGCCACGTGGACCAATTATGCGTTGCCACGTGTCCTCTGTGTGGACCAATCGGAGTCTGCCACGTGTCACCTTGTAAGAGGTCCAAAGTGGACCTCTTAGGTCACGACACGTGGAAGACTGAAAGACCTGTCAGGAAAAGCAGCCTGCAAACGGCCTAACTACCCAGGCAAACCCAATCAGTCCTAGGTTTCCCAGAAACCTAGTATTGGGCACAGTCTCCCAGACTATAAATAAGGTGTTTCCTCCAAGGGAACACCTATTCAGAGATTTCTAAACACATTCAGGGAGCCTCATATCACATCTGATAGGCGCTCTCACCTACTCTCACTCTCAAAGTAGAGAACTTGTCAGTTACCTGACATCCCAAACTGAGCAATCATACATTGCAGATCCTCTCTTGAAACCCAATGGAGAGTCTTTACATTCCGCACTTAAACTCCTCAAACACGTTCTAACTTGATCGTTGGAGGCGGAACTCCCACCCTCGGGAGTTTCCGTTGTTTTGCAGGTACAGGCGTTCAGAAGTCAGTCTTGGATTTGTAACTCTCCCGCAGAACATCAAAAAACCCCAAAACAGTTCGTATCCCATATCTTTTAATAATAGGACAATATATCATAATAAATATTACTCTGTACGTCATCTTTAACACATCATATTTTATTCCTTTAATTGATTATTATATTTTAAATAAGATAATTTTTATCAATATTTAAAATGATGACTCTATTAAATAATAAAATCATACTACACAAAATTATTATTATTAGTATTATTATAATAAAACGGACATTTTTTTTTAAATACTATAATTGGTTTCTCGCCTAATTCTAATACGAATGGAAAGCAAAACGAAGGGAGTTTAACAACATAGCGTAACATTATAAATAATTTATCTATTGGCATGTAATCATGTAAGAAAATTTGACTAATTGAAATTTAATTCTTTCTTAGTTGTATCTCCAATACTTTCATATATTAGGTTAAAAAATTAACCAAATATCATTAAATCGGAATTATTATTCCTAAAAATTAGGTGTATGTAATACATATATAATTTTAAATACTTATTTGGTTAATAAAAAGAAAATTGATACTAATTTATCATTAAATTTTTAAAACACCTATATGGTCGTCTAACATGTAATTTAGATATACTAATTTGTCTAATCGATTCTTTTGTTATATTCATTTCATTATATATGCAAAAAAATAAGAAGAGAATAAATATGTTATAGTTGTATTTTATCTATTTTATTTTAAATACAATTAATTATTTTTCTTTTATTAATTAAATGTAGTATAATTATCGTGCATGACACGAGACCTTTCTAGTATTTCATATTGTATTGACGACTTACTATCACAAAATAAACTCATAACTCATGGGTAATCCACCCCTACACTTCAAAGCAAAGACTCTCCGTACCATTTTATTCAAAAGTAATAACAACCATTGAACCATACTCAACCTTTGGAGAAGATTTTGAATTTGAATGTTAATTCTTGGTTTTTCAAAAAATCGGAGAATAATGGACCTAGAAACAAAAGCCAACCTGTAAAAGAATGCCGAGTCAAAGGGCAAGTAGCCCAATCGAAATCACACCACGCTGATCTATGCAGGGTTGGTTTGATCATGTTCGTTTACAAATACAAGAAGATGCTTTACTTAATAGAGTAATTAGAGTCGGTGTCATAGGAAACATTGTTAGGAAAATTTCAAGTTATATGCACATAATTCTCTTCGGTTTCTCTCTAAGGAATCGTACACTCTATTCATTAGAAGCACCAGAATGTTAAACCCAACAACGATACATGGACTTCAAATTTCAATTGAAATACAATCAATTACAAGATCAAGCTCTATAATTGTGCATCACTCCAATAGTTCAATATAAACAATGTCTTCATTATCGACATAAATTAAAGCATCTAAACAGAGGTTGGAAACTCAAAATTCACAATTACTCCAATTTCATAATCACCATTTGAATCATCAATTCATATACTAATCCACATATATCATCTGAAAACTTTAAAGGAGTGATTCACAACTGTGAACCCTCCATCAACCACAAGATTATCCCCACTTATATACTTTGCCTCGTCGCTTGCCAAAAAAAGCACGCAATTAGCAACATCATCGACTGTCAGCTCCACCCCATGCAGATTGGCGTTTTTTGCACTGAAGGCACGGACACCAGCGAAAACATCTTCGGTCCTCTCATCCTCGGGCAAATGAGCCACGGACAACTTTGTTGGAATCGCATAGGGAGAAACACAGTTAACTCGTATCCCATGCAGTCCTAGTTCAGCTGCCACACTCTTTGTTAGTCCCAAAACAGCATGTTTAGACCCTGTGTATGCATGTGGACCTACACCTGCTACAATGCTTGAAACACTAGAGATTGAAATAATGGACCCTTTTTTAGATGGGATCATTACTCGAGCAGCATGCTTCATCCCTAGAAACACACCCTTCACATTTATGTCGAATGTCCTCTCGAAATCAGAAAGGTCTACATTACGAATGTCACTGCTAGGAGGACCTGAAATCCCTGCATTGTTCACCATAATATCAAGAGCGCCAAACTTTTCAACTGTAAAGTCAACGGCATGCCGGACATCATCTTCTTTACTAACATCACAGTGGACGAAACAGATGTTCGAGTCACCACCAAAAGAATTAAAGAGGCGTTGGCCATCATCATCATTTATATCTACAAAACATACTTTCGCACCACTATTGTGGAATAAACGCACAATGCTCTCTCCTATTCCATTGGCTCCTCCGGTTACCAAGGCCACTTTTCCTGATAACCTGGAGATCAAACACAAGAGTGACATAGTATGAAACAGTTAAAATATACGAGTATATTATACAACCATGTCAAGATCAGATCTTCTAAGGTATTAGATCTTTTCTGTTTCACATACTTTAAAACTCGAGTAATTAAAAACCAAAATTCTGTAAGCAAATAGGGAGTCCTACACATTATGAGATGCTATGTGTTACAAGAATACTATTCTCATCATTACCAAGGCTTGCTGCTAGTTGGTGGAAACAATCATTGTCATTCTTACTCTAATACAAGTATGCTGCTTCACTTTGTAGCTACCACTACATAAATGCTGGAGTAAGATGTTATTACACATTATAAGCAGTAGCAGGCCATGAAGCACATCTAACTGACCCCTGTAACATGTTAGTGAAACTAATGGAAATACTACGGAGTATCACCTAAAAGTCATCTGCAGCCTTCATAGCCGAAATAAACATCCCAGTCAATGAAGACGTACTATTCACAGTTCACTCATCAGAATCTAGATCTCATATAAAATCCTGAAAATTTAGAATTAAATCACACTAGACAGCTTCTCAACGATCATTTACTACAATATTACCCCAAATACTTCTAAAGAAGTTCAAGGTCTGGCTGAGTTAAAGGGAGCGCATGTACATAGCCTTTCCCTTGCAATATATAAAGAGGGTGTTTCCAATCGAACCTTAATCCAATATGCAAATAATGTAGGCCACTTCTCATAGATCATTTCACATGGCTTAATAAACAAGATCCACAATTAACTAAAGCTGAGGATAGTTACTAATTAAGTGTCATTTCTCTATTATGTAGCTGGCTAGCTATAATAACTATTAACAATGACTTACTTGTACGATTATATGCAGATTTCCAATTATATACTCCCTCTGGATTTATGACATTACTTACTCGTAGTTCAAATTACATTATGAACGTGACTATTAATTCTGGAAGGAAGGAGTAGAAAATCATATATGTTTTCAATTATTTGATCTTAAACCCAATTTGATACAATTCAGTTAACACTAACAAGAACAAACAAGAATGCAAGAATCATCCAATCCCTTAAACACTGATTACAATCTCACCATTATTAGCTCTTATCACATACAAATAACATCAATTTAGCAGCAACAACAACAACAACAAAATAAAAAGCTACTTTAAATTATTGACATATGATTAAAAAGGGCCTAAAAGCCTGAATTGGACCGGATAAATTCTGGCCTGAAAAATCCGGCCCAGAGTTGCTCATTTAGTCTGAGTGCCCGACAAGTGAAAACCCAGGCTGATTTTCCTTTTACTGAAAATCCGGCCCAAACAAGGCCCGAAAGCCCGAATTTGGTCCAACCCGGCCCTCTGCTCAGCTCTAATTTTTTGGATTGAACTCTAGTTTAAATTAAAGATTAATCAAAAGCCTACTATTATCCGATGATGTTACTTTTTAGCAAACATCACTCCACCTAACATTGTGAATTATCTGGCCCACAATTCCAACTGCAAATATATTCCACATAATAAATAGGAGTAACTTTATAAACAAAAAAAGTAAAATTCTTCTAATAATCAAAACCAGTCTAAAAGGAATCAAATGAATAAAGATTAAGAACCCAGAAAATTTGAGCATTAGATACAAGTAGATATAACATTCAAAATCCAATCATCAAACCCAGATCAAATCAAGCAAATTAGCAAAATAAATAAACAGAAAAATGATAAAATAAAGGTAACAAAAAGTATAAAAAGCATAGAATTTGATAAAGAACAAACCTTTGAAATGGAGGTTGAGAATTAACAGAGTTGGTGTTTGAAGTTTCCATTGATTATTCTGTAAATTGTGTGTTTGAGTTGGAATATTCAAGTGTTTGGAGTTTGGAGCAGAGTAAGCAGCATGTATTATACGAAAAAACAAAATATGTAACACATGACAGCATGTTGTACATGTGGCCGATGTGGGTGGGTCACTTGGTGTTTTTATTTTATCTTCATATTTTTTTTTTTTTTTTTTTTTTTTTGACAGGTACTTTTCTGGGTGCTAGATATTGCAATTTGTACTCAATTGATAACGGTTGAAAGAAACCTTGTAAGAGTTGTTATTATTTACTCGTACAAAGATTGGATGATACTTACATCTGTGGCCCTGTGGTACCCGTTTAATTGTCATGTTGTTGATTTAAATTATATTCTTTTGATGCATTTATGGGATAGAAGAGAGTACTCGTAATAATCTACTAGTAATAATCTATGATATGATTGGTATCTATTGTTCACGAAACAAGTGGCTTATTTTGTCCGCCACATATGTCAATACGGAGGTTTAACTAATACAAGTAATGTATTTGATTACTACTCCGTATTAAGTATTAAATATAACAAGTTGATGGTGGGAAATTATATGTTGAGACAATTATAGCAAGAACTACCCTAATTATGTATAATCTTATATACTTCATATAAAGCACCAACATAAGCCAAACTTGTGTATGTGAATAACATGAAAGTCTTGTGTGATACAGTGATACTTACCTTATAATGGAAGAAGTATCTTGTATGTAGTTTCTCCTTTCATTTTTTTTAATTTACTGGTCCTATCTCCTATGTGGGTTCTCATGTAGGACTCAATTATAAAGAAAAAAAAAAGTGGAAGAGAAAAAAATTATTGAAATAAAATGGGTGTATTAAATTGAAACATTTTCTAAAAAAAAGGCAAATGAACCAATCAAGATGAAAGGAAGGTAATATCTATTAAAAAAAATGGTGTATAAACTTAATGTTTTGAAACAGATTCATTAAGCTGAGAATAATACAACAACAGTTTACATATTTCCAGGTTGATTAAATTCAACCTTAAAGTTGTCAAATTATATGCTTGTAGTTTAAAAATGATTTAGATACAAATACTTTGTTGCAAGGAGCAGATTTTTGTCATAATCGACTAGATAACAGAAACTTGTCATTTAAAGTTACCTAAAGAATGATTAACTGATGCAAATCCTCCATCAATCACAAGATTATCTGCACTTATATACCTTGCCTCGTCGCTTGCCAAGAAAAGCACAGCATTAGCCACATCGTCTGCTGTCAACTCCACCCCTTGCAGATTTGCTTCCCTAGCAACGAATCTCCGGAAATCAGCATCTGCATTACCCTCCCTCTCTTCCTCAGGCACATGAGCCAAGGCCAAGTTTGTTGGAATTGCATAGGGAGAAACACAATTAACCCTTATTCCAAGCTCGGCTGCTACATTCTTTGTTAGGCCTAAGACAGCGTGTTTGGATGCTGCATATGCATGAGGGCTTAGGCCTGCTACGACTGCAGCAACACTACAGAGTGAAATTATGGAACCTTTCTTTGATGGGATCATAACTCTAGCAGCATGCTTCATCCCAAAAATACACCCTTCACATTTATATCCAACACCTCCTCCACATCAGCACAGTCTACCTCACGGATGTCCTTGAAAGGGGTCTGAGAGCCCTGCATTGTTCACCATTATATCGAGAGTGCCAAAATTTTCTACTGTGGAATCCACAGCTCGTCTAACATCATCCTCATTGGCAACATCACAGTGGAAGAAACATATGTTCGAGTCAACACCAAGAGAATCACAGACGCGTTGGCCAGCTTCATCGCTAATATCTACTAAACATACTTTTGCACCATGCTTGTGGAGTATGCACACTATGCTCTCTCCTAATCCTGCAGCTCCTCCAGTTACGAGTGCTACTTTCCCCAATAACCTGAAATATATGAATGCATATTTGCACATACAGTGAAACAATTCAGGTAACAATATACATGCATCAGGGAAAATTAATTCGTTACCCTGCAGCTAACCAGCCACATACGAAATATTACAATTTATTTTCAGGACTGCAGAAAGTTCAGACTACATGATCATCAAATAATTTATACCGTTACTTCAGAAGTCAGACTACTAAAGTGGAAATAAAGTTCAGACTACAGGCTCATGTGAACTTATACCATTTCTTCAGACTAGTCCTTTTTAGCTAGGAGAGCAGGAAGTTTAGACTACAGGAACATCAGATATATTCTATACCATTTTTCAAGACTAAGTACTAAATCCGGAAGTTCAGACTACAGGATCATACCATTTTGTCAGACTACAATCTGGCTAGGAGATCAGGAAGTTCAGCAAGGAAAATGCTACTCACAAGGAATTCGAATATGGGTGTCAGGGTCTCAGGGAAGGACACAATTCCTCATAATGCAGTATTTAACGTGGCTACAGCCATCAGGGTAAAAGGCTAAACCCCACAAATCTACACTAACTTGTAGAATTTCATTACTACCTTCCTTTGTCCAAATCTAGTAGTCACGTAATTAGTTTGAACTATATTAATACCATATAACATACGATCTGAATCATGACTAGTTCAAATACGTGACAAATAACTGAATACAGAGAGTGTACAAAAATAATTGAATAAAGCATGATAACATCTTATGTTTGAAATATGTAGAAACCAAAAAAAAAAAACTCCTCTAGGATGGGAAGATACAAGACTAAATATCAATTAGTAAGAACCACTCAAATAAGAATGCCAACTGGGTGATAAACTAGTAATTAAGATACAGAAGTTGCAGCTAATCTAGAGCAAACTAATGATCATAGAAATAAGCTAAAACAAAAGTCTGACGTGATCATGTGATTACTTTACCTTTGTTGGAGGTGGAGGATTAATACAGCTGCTGATTGCTGCCATTAGTTTTGAGCTATCTTTATCTCTCTTCTCTCTATCTCTCCACCTATCTTTATATAATCCACTAATTAGTTATTTTTCACCAAAAATATATATGTTGGTCTCATTTGAAATTGACTCGATATAAGGTCATGTTCTGTTCATCAATCATCAATTCCACATATTAGAGGTTAATATGAGTTACACAAGTTCAAATTATAACTAAATTATGCAAGTGTCAATATGTTCTATTAAGTGAAAATAAAGTGAATAGAACGAACCATAAGTTTTAAAACTAGATTAAGGTGAAAGCTTGCTCAATTAAAGATTTTGACTTTCTTGCATGGACATAATTGAGTTAGACTTGATCTAATTTGTTAAACCAATCATTAAGAGTCTAATTCATTTAACTATAAGTAGTCTGATAGTCCATTATAGTACAGATTTTGCCAAACAATCCTAGAGTAGGCGTGTGGCACACCTTATCCTAATATGGTCCACTAGGATACATGGACACTTCATCCAATTGCCGTGTCCGTGTCGGACATTGTGTCAGACACCAAACACTCGTGGGACACATGAGGATACGTCTCAGACCGTATCCTATTATGATATGGATTGTTCAACTTTATTTTAATGAGAAAATTTAAGTAAAGTTAGATAAATAAGGTAATTCTTAAATAATATGAGTTTTTGTAATCTATACTCAATTTTTGTTCGTAACTATTTAATTTTTTTAGCTATGTGGTGTAGTTTTACACTCTTTAAGCTGTTTATTTATTCGGTCCACCAATCTCATTTCTCAGGTCTAAAATGCTATAAATTGTACTCTGTAGTAGACTAGTAGTTTCCGTATTTCATATACTTTTAAGATTTTGATGATTTATTAGTTTTGTTCGATTTCAACTCCGGTCATTTTTGTAAAAACCCCCAAAAACAAAAAATTACAAAACAACGTCGTTCATTGCTTGCTAAAACCCACTCAAATCCCCCTTGTTCTGAATTCCGAAAACGCAAAAACTTCCCTCCTCCTCTCTCCAATTCTTCTCTCTTTACACACAAACACAGTCTTCGGAGAGAGAAAAATGGGGACATCGGTTCAGGTAACACCTTTGTGCGGCGTATACAACGAGAATCCACTTTCGTATTTGGTCTCCATTGATGGCTTCAACTTCCTCATTGATTGCGGTTGGAATGACCATTTTGACCCCTCCCTTCTTCTACCCCTCTCTAGGTTTTTTCCCTCTCTTCTTTCCTTTCAATTTTGCTTCACTCTATATTGTAATTTCTATCTATGTCAATTTTGTCCGAGAAATATAAGCTGGAGTGAAAGATTGGACTAATGTCATTTATGTATTCGATCAGGAAATCAATTCAATAAAGGGTCATTCTTTCGTTGTATAAAAGGTTTATGATTTGTGGGTTCTGGGGTTTATTTGTTAATATTGTTCCTTTAAAATGTATCTGTTATATTGAATCGTCGGGGTAGTTTTTATGTTTTGTACTTGTATTTGGGGATGACCTTGATGATTTTTAAAAGTTGGGTATTGACATTTTTGTTTGAGCACATTGGTATGAAGCTATGAACCCTTCTACACAAATGAAGCACATGGTACTATAATTTTTTTTGGGATAAAAATTGAAGTGGTTGCTTTCTACCAATAATAGTAGAGACTGTGATTGGGCAATTAAGATGCTCAAAAATTTAAGTACGGAGTATAGAGTATTTTGGGGTTTTACACTTAGCTTTAATTGTGAGGGGGTAGATATGGCTATAATTTTTACATGTAGCGGATTGTTTTTCAGCAAAGCCTCTCGACCTAGCTCTCTTTGTTTACAAGCTTATAACTCCCCTTTTACTAGGCCTGAGCTTGATGGTAGCTCTAGATTTAACTTATAAAACGTAGTTGACTAGTTGAGCATCCGAGCATTAATTATAATTATTATGGATCTGATTTAAGCATGTGTAGAATATATTCATCTGAGTTAAGATTTGCCAAGGGATTAACATAGCATCTGCAGGATTGTATGAATGATAATCGTTGTGGCTAAATGCATCATCAATCAGGTCATTATGGATGCTTTTCTTTTCCTACTATATGTCTGTTGCAACTCCTGCAAAATAATTATTTTTTCCTCCTTTTTTCGGGGTGTGAGATCTTGGGTTGAGGAAAGGGGGAGAATCTGGTCAGTAGAGGCTCAGAACTAGGCAAAATAATTATTTTCATTATGTGATATTGATCACAGACAGAACACTAGAGCAGCCATTCACCAAATTTATCATTCTTGTGTGTAATGCAGGGTAGCTTCTACTGTAGATGCTGTTCTCCTATCATACCCTGATACAATGCATCTTGGTGCTTTGCCATATGCAATGAAGCAGTTTGGGCTCTCCGCACCAGTTTATGCAACAGAGCCAGTCTACAGACTAGGTCTTCTGACTATGTATGATCACTATCTTTCACGCAAGGTAAATTGCTATCTATCTCTATTAGCCATGTTAATTCTTTGAGATTTGTATGCTCTATATCTCTCATTCGCTCTTTCA